AATAATTAATAGCCACTCCAATCGATGTTTATTTGTTTTAAAACGCATGCGCACCAATTTTAAATGTTTAATTCTAAAAATTTAAATTTAAAATCTTTTTTGTATGTTCAAAAACGGCTAGTATCGTTAATGTTTTAAATTTAAATGTATGGTTCGAATTCTTTATTCGAATTTAATTTTACCTGAAGACGACGTGCTTATTTACGTCGAAAGCGCTCGTAAATTAAAATAATTTCAAGTATATTTAACGCCTCATAGACTGACGTTCTTGGAAGAAGAAGTTTTGATTGACATAAGTTGGCGTGACATCCAACCCGTGAACTTAATACACCTAACAATATAATATTTGTTTGTAGAAAAGGGCTGGCAGAATTACAATTTAATAAAAAATAAAACACATCTGGATATGAGTCATTTTTGAATTTTCCTACTTTTTATTATTTTAATTATTACAAAATAATAATGATGTATGCTAGTACAAAAATAATCACTTTTATTAAAAGTGATATATGTTTATTAGGAATAAACATAATACACTTTTAATAAAAAGTTTATTCTTAGTAAATTAACATTATCAAAGTGAGTTTTTCAATTATTTAATTATTAAAAAAATAATGTTATTTTTCTAGAAAGCAAGTATCCTTAATTCATTAAGTGTACTTCCTAGGATATTCAGTCCTTCATCCTCAGAATCCCAAAATAGTCAAAAAATTCAGTTAATCTTTAAATCACTGAAAATTACTTATTTTTAGATTATATATTGTAGAAGCTTAATTAAATTATACATTCTAAAATATTTATTGTGTGACTTTGTTTTTAAACACTAACTTCTTTTAGATTTTTAGTGCTTTTTAGATTTAAATGTTCACATTTATGCTTCAAAATCATTTCATTCTTTTTTTGTATTTAACAGTTTTAAATATAGCAAAGGATAAAATGAAGCATAGATGTGGACATTTCTTTTTTTGTACTATTTAATTTTTGTAGTCCATACAAATATTCTGGTTTTGTTTATAACAACAATGCTGTTGTATCTTATTTAATTGTTTTTTTTTTTTGGAGTGGATTTAGCTACAACAAGCATTATCTGTCATCTATCATTATCTTATATAGTCCTTAATTCTTTAGTTTAGTTTTTCATCATGCTATCATTTATTATTTTGTTTGTTCACTGTAAGTGTAGTTTCTGCATTCTTAAGTTGTCTTTTTTTGTTCTTACCATTTTTAAGTAATTTCAGTCATTTTTTTTTTTTTTTTGCAGTGACCTTTCATTCGATAACTGATCTTTTTATTTAAATTGTAAGTCAATTTCAGAAAATGTTTTCTATTATTATTGATATAGGTCTTATTGTATCCATATTTATTAGTAATGTTCTGGATATCTTGGTTTTGGCTTGGAAAGCTTTATTTTATATTATCATGCCTTGCCTGAATAAAATCCTCAACAATGATATATATATATATAGTACGAGGTCTGTTCAAAAAGTATCGGACTTTTATTTTTTCCGCGTAAACCAATGATGCGGGAGGCCTCTTTCAGTGGAGTTGTGGAGGGGACAGTCATGCACAGCTTTGAATTTTTTCCCGCTTGCAGGAAGCTTTAGTCGTTGGCAGTCGGCCTATGAGTGAGGACATGTAGCAAGTTCTCGTCGGATTCCACTAAGTTGGAAAATGACTGAACAATGTGAGCAGCGATATTACATCAAATTTTGCCAAAAACCTTGGCGATACCTAAGCGTAAACCATTCGCGAGATTCAGTAGACTTTCGGGAACGATCCTCGAGGCCAAAAAAAGCGCGGCAGGTCCGCAGCAATATCAAAGTCATGTTGACAGTTTTTTCAACTCTCGTGGGGTGGTGTATCGTGAGTACGCACCACGAGGCCAAACCATTGCAAAGGAGTACTACCAGGAGGTCCTTCGTCGTCTTTCCGATGATGTGCGACGCAAACGACCGGATCTGTGGTCAATCAAAATTTGGCAGCTCCATCGTGATAACGCATCCGCCCATTCTGTGCATCTGATTTGGGCTTTCATCGCCAAACACAACACTCCTGTTGTTCGTCATGCTCTGTACTCTCCCCATATGACTCCGTGTGACTTTTGGCTATATCCCAAGCTGAAAATGCCACTAAAAGGAACCCGATTTTAGTCGAGTGAAGACATCGTGCAGAATGCAATGGACCGGCTGATGGCCATTCCAAAAGATTCGTTCCAGCAGGGTTTCCAGCAATGGCAGGAACACTGGGAAAAGTGTATACACTGCCAAGGAGACTACTTTGAAGGGGATTAGGGTTTTGTACCTCAAAATCAATAAATGTATTTTTGCCGACCAAAGGTCCGATACTTTTCGAACAGACCTCGTATGTATTGATGTATTGTATAAAAATGCAAGCTAATAACTGGATTACTTTATATTGCAGTTGTAAATATGCTAATCACTGATCATAGGATAAGAAATTCTATCAGTCATTTAGTTTTCTATTAACCATTTAATTTAATTTTGTTAGATTAGAGAAGAATCTTTTGGATCTTATTTATAGGATATAGTAGAACAAGCCTTTATTGTAGAGCTGCCTCTTTGAAAATGAGAATCTTTTCTTTATCAGTAAAGTGATCATTTTATCATTTCTATCTCTATTCTTTTACTTTCATTCATTTTTCTTAGTGCTAAAATCAAAAGCTTTTTGGTGTATTTGATAGATTTTATAATGTCTCTTTCCAGTTTCCATCATATTGGTTGTTACTCATGTGATGAAAACTGGAAAGAGACATTTTCAATGATAGTAATTGTGTTGTGACTTCAAATTTTGGAAAAATTTCAAAAAGATTTTGTGCTGCTTTCAAATACCTCTGTAACAGTTTGATTCATCAAATAAATTGTGATTTATATTTGTGTTATGTCTAGTTCAAACAATTGATTTTTAGAAGAAAAAAACATCTATAGACCTTAAATATTTCTAGCAAAAATTCTTCTGTTAGTCATTGAATATTGGAAAAGTAAGTCTAGTCTTATAAAGAAGAATATATCTTTAATTCTCAGAGTTCTTTAGAATCACTTATCTACATGTTTTGGTCTAGAATTTAATATAAAATTTATTTGCATTGATATTGGAATTTAAGAAATGTTGAAGGACTTTGACTATTTATTTTAACACTAAATGGCAAGAACAGTTACTACAGAGATCATGCATTTAAAAAATTATAATTATTATTCATAATTAAACTAATGTAACTTCCTCCATTTTCACAATTTGTTTTGATACATAATAATAAGTTTATTGATTTAGCAAATTGCTTTTACAAGGGGGTAAATAAAAAATGTTATTACAAAAGTTTTAGTGAGTGTACAAAAAACTTATATAGTTTATATAATGTGGTCATACTGGAAGATTCTTCTAATAAATTGGTATAATTATAATCAATCCCAAAAATATTTGATTTTGAACAAGTGATTTACTATCATCACCGCCATCATTTTACGAAACAAACATTTAGCATTATTTGATATGTTAATTCTTTTGCCATTTAGAGTAATTGTATATTTATTTAGACGAAACATAATTGTAGTGAATGATAAATTTTCTGCTCTTTCAATATATCTTAAACATCCTAAATGATATGTAATTAGATAAAATGTATGGATAAATTTAATTGCATTAGTGTTACAGGGAAGCTGATTAAATTGATAAATTCTAGAACTTAATACATTTTAAAGTACTGCTTTTAATTTCGTAGTTATAAGTTATTTTTGATAAATTTTTAATTAAATTCATTTCATTAACTTGATTAGATGTTTATAAAAATTAAAATTAGTCTATTGAATTTATTTTGATCTTGTTGAAAATAAATGAATCAACTGGCAACATTTAATGAATATTTATTAATTTAAATTATTAATTAATATCAATTAAAGCATCATTCCAACTTTATTGGAATTAAAAATTTACTGTATATATTTTGAAAGTAAAATTTTTCTGACACAAACTTCAGAAAGTTATTTGTAAAGGTTGATGCAAAGATTTCTTTTCAATAGCACTGCAGTCACATTTGAGACATGTACAGTACAGTGTTAGCTGATATAAAGCCAGTGATCTAGCTGTGAATTAGTAAGGTATTTATTATATTCCAAATTGTATTTGTTATATACAGTACACATACTGATGACACTATCACTATCAAATATGTTCATATCAGATCAATGTTGCCATGTTTTTGACTGCAGAGGGACATACATAAACCAGAATGGTGAAGAGATATGGGGATATGTGCCTGCTCCAATAGTATTGTGGAATGATATACAAAGTTTCTTGAAGGTTGCAATGATATTCACCGTCATGTTGACAATGTTGTCAAACTTCTGTTTGACACCTTTAAATGGGAGATCCCTGGAGCACCCAAAGTTCAAATCTCTTTCTATATGATTTCCATGCCTTTGATCTTCTGGAAAACTCTGAAAGGATGGTGACTCAAGTTGGATGATGACATGAAAAGGGCTGTATCAGACTTTTTTTATGCATTTGCTAACTGACTTCTACCAGATAGGCATTGCTAACCTGGTTCCTCAATGGGACAATTTTCTTAATGCCAGTGGTAATTTCTTTTAAATGGGATGAACCTACTGGGCCTTATAGATCCCTTGAATGGAAACTTTTTGTTCATTCCTTATGTTTATCAAATATTTTCAGGTTGTTATATTATATATAACAATTATATATAAATAATATATAATAATTTATATAATATGTATACAGTATATATTTTTTCTACATATGGATGTTATTTTTTTGAGGTATGACATAATTATTATTATATGCCTATATTTTATTATAATAAAAATTTTAGAAAATAGAAGCTTTTATTAATAATTGTTTGTTTTGATGTGCTTTACATAATTTATATAAAATTGAATATTTTTAAAACAGGGTTTATCTTATGATCATGTTGAGTTGAATTTCTATCTTAATGGAAAAAATATGGAAACTCCTCTAACTAGTGCAAAAGGAGAATTGTATCCTGTGTTGTATGGTAAAATAAGCTTTTCAATAAAATTAAAATGATACAACAATAAATTATAAAATTTTTAATGCATTATTTTTTTTATTTTTAGTTGATGATGGTGCTATACTGGATGCAGTTTTTTCGTTATTTTTTTATCCTCCTCCACCTGGATATGATCGAATATTAATTGAAAAGTCTTTATTATAAAAGAATGATTTCATAAAGAATTATTTTATAATGATTGATTTGCATATTATCAAATTAGAAATTGAAATTAAAAAGGAAGTATATTTGTAATGCAATTATTTAATATATGAGCTAAGTAAATTTGTGTTAAATTTAATATAAATATCTTTAAAATATTTTTTATCACTTCATTTGGAATATATTAACAAATTACAACCAATAATGAATATTATTAACAGATTGTTATTTATTCATTTTAATAGTAAATATTGATATATTATTATAGATTCATTTCTAACACAATAATGATTATAATGGATATTTTATTTTATATTATTCATAACATACACAATAAATTTTTTAAGTTATGAATGTTGTTAAAAAAAAATCTTTATACAAATTCAAATGTTTGTATATGGACAGACATTAAAGTTTAAAACCACTTTATATTAAAATCACACACGGTTTAACAATAAAATAAAAAATATGGTTAATTTATTAACAAATTTCTTTGTTTTTTTAGTTAAATTAAAATTCATTAGAAATTATTTTGCAATTTATAATTTTATTGAATAAAAATAGTAGTGCCATTAGAATTATTAAATGTTGCATAGATAAGTAATTAGAATCGATGTTTTACATACTTTTAAATAAGATTTAAAAAACCATAAATTATTTTTAACAAGATTAAATTTTAATTTATATGAATTTGAATATTTAGAATATATCACCTTTATAAATTTAATATTATTTCACTAATAAATTCTCATTAAATTAGATTTTTATTCTTCATTTTGGAAAATGTTTTTAAAGAGTAATTTTGATAATATGCATCAAAACATATCTAAATATAATGAAGAAGTTATGAACTAAATTTTTATTTCAAAATATAAAAGCAATTATTTAAGAATATAAATTGAAATCTTATTTACTGTTTTGTAAATTTAAAAGATATAAAAAAAATTTCATTCTTTCAGAACTTAAAAAGAATGTGAAAAATTATTATATTTTAACTATGAAAACTTATTTTTATTATTAAATAAATATATCTTTGAATACTTTATTATATTTAAATTATTCATAGTAACAAAAGATATCTGATTTGTTATTTAAAAGTGTAAAATTTATGTGAAAATAAACTTTTAAGATACCAATTTTATATCTTTATTAACAGGAAACATTTTCAATAATACAGTCATTCATATTATTTATATTGTATTTTATATTCTTCTAGACTTGTTGCAAATTAAATTTTTATCAAGAATTTAAAGAATTTTTTGGTTTTAATATTTTCAAATATTAAAATTTACACCTTCCTCTCAGTTTCCAGCATTCACTGTTTAAAAAAATTAACATTTTTGCTACATTCATTGGCCTGCATAAGGTTTAGTAGTTTCTACATCAAACTTCTACAGCAGATTCAAAGTTTGGAATAACACTGGGGTTTTTTTTTGACATGATTGTTTTTGAATCAGCTTGCATTGCAATAAGAATTTTAACTTCTCTCTTTATCTGGTTAGGGCTAAGATGTTCTTTCTGTAAAAATTGCAATGCAAGCTGATTCAAAAACAATTGTGTCAAAGAAAAATGGCATTATTTTAATCTTCGAATCTGTTATAGACATTCAATATAGAATCTGCTTAACCTGATACAGGCCACTGAATGTAGTTGAAAACATTCATTTTTAAACCCTATTATTTGAACACTTACTATTGAATATTTGAGAAAATATATTTAAAATATTTATATCCCATTTCGGCATTAAAATATAAATAAACAGCATTAATTTTATATTTTAATACCAAAATGGGATATGAATATTTTAAATACATTTTCTCAAATATTCTAATAGTAAGTGTTCAAATAATAGGGTTTAAAAAATGAGTGTTTTTGACTACATTCAGTGGCCTGTGTCAGGTTATACAGTATTCATTTATTATTTATAAGATTTGTTTAAGTATTTCTACATTGCTGGCCATTAAAATTGCTACACCATGAAGGTAGCATGCAATAGATGCAAAATTTTCATGAAAGGTATAACATGCTGGGATATGCAAATGATTAGCATTTCAACACATGCCCTCAAAGTTGGTAGGAGTAAGGCCACCTACAGTCTGTATAAAAGGGAAAATCATAAAGTGGGTTTCTCACATGAAAATTGCATTCACACATTGGTTGCTTATGTAAATGTTTTGATATGCCTTGTGTAAGGAGGAGGAATTCCTACCAGCACATGTCAGAATTTGATTGTGGTAGAATCGTAGCCTACTAGGACTGTGATTTATCATTCTACATTGTTGTTGCTTGCATTGGTCATGATTCCATGACTGTATTGAGAGTATGGTATTGAAGGGTCCAGGGGGGGCCATACAGAATGGGTTTTATGGAATTTTCATCTTAATGGGGCTAGAATGTTTTTGTTTGTCTTTATATTCATATTGGATGTGGAGTTTACTTTGGTTCATTTCAGTTTCATTTTATTTGGGTGAGTGGGGTTATAATTTTTTATGGGATCTCAGCGAGCCCTAGTCACTAATGCCCATCTCCATCCACATGGCCTTGTGGGATCATACAGCCATGTCATGAATCCCAAGTCAGGAACTTGGGTCATTTTCAGAACAATAAGTGTCTGCCTGGACAGTGTGACAATATCTACAGCACTACAGATTATCAGCATGGTAACCTTTGCTGCAGCTTTCCTTGATACTGTAGCAGAGACAGGTATGTCTACAATGGTGCAGTCAATGACGAATTTGGATACAGGAGTGGCATCACATCGTCTTTTCAGACAAAACCCAATTCTGTGTACAACATCATGATGATTGTATCTTTGTGTGGAGGCACAGAGTAGAGCAATCACTGCCAGTTTGTATTCGTCATGCTACATTTCAACAGGACAATGCACAATCACATGTTGCCCATGCTGTCCTGACCTTCCTGAATGCATCTGTCACCAATTGAGAACATCTGGTCAATGGTTGCCGAGAATCTGACACACTACCACTCATCAGCCAGTACAATAGATGAACTTTGGCATAGTTGAAGCTGCTTGGACTATTGTATCTGTATCTGCCATCCAAACTCTGTTTGACTTGATGCCCAGCAGGATTACAGCTCTTATTGCTGCCAGAGGTGGCTGCTCTGGGTACTGATTTCTGCATGCTCTGTTCCTCAAAATTATCTGTCAACTTGCTAATGTCTTCCTTTCATTATACTGTATGTGTACAATAAATATGATTTTACTATTTACTTTTCTTTCTGGTGTAGCATTTTTAATGGCCAGCATTGTATTTCATAAATAATGAATTATAGATTAAAAACATAAAATGTTTAGAATATAAACCATGTATTCATAACAACTTTTGATAATTATTAAGAAAAATACGTAAAATTAATTTGTAAGAAATAAAAAGTATAAAAATAATCGGAAAATAAATACAGTAACTGGTGAATCCTAAAGTTCAATATAAAATTAATATAATTGATGTAACATTCAATATTTTTACAAAAAACAAAGATTAAAGCTTTTGAGAGATTACAGTCAATTGTGATAGCCAAAATTATGTTTTTTAAAACTAAAATTCATATACTAGTTTTGTTAATAGCATTCCAAATTATAATAAACTATATACAGTATATATGTTTTTTTCACATTTTTCTCACATTCAACACTTTAATTTTTTGTTGAAATTATATTCATATATAAACATGCTGAATATGCTTCCAAAAAATGAGTTTAAGTAAATTTACTTGCCTTAATGTCTTTAACTTGTATTTTATTCTAAAATTGTCAACATCACTTATTGGATTAATAGGACTATTACACTGGTGTATTGGCTATTAACGAAATTTAATATTTTTAAAATGTATATTGATAAAATTAAAAATAGAACAGAACAGGTAAATTAGAAAATCAACAAATAGAAATAGAACAAGTTATAAAGATGTTTTTGTTCAACAGCTATCTGAAAAAAACTGCTCGAAAAATGGCTAAACTGGATAAATAGTAATGAATATAGAAAAAAAACATTTTATGAAGATAAAAAATATTTAAATTTAGTTTATATATCATTGAAAGAGTGAAAACAGTCTTTAAGTGGAATAATAAATTTAATATCTGAAAAGAATGATTTATTCAAGAAATATTTATATCATAGATCAGACAAAAAAATGAATATAATAGAAGAAAAAGAGATGATTTATTCTTTTGATTGTAATTGTAATTCAGTAAAAACATACATAGGTGAAACAAAAAGGAAATTACGAACACGCATAAAAGAACATATATAATTGATAAAGGGAAATTATGCAAATTCTGCAGTGGTGGAACATTGTAATAGTAACGAATGTGAAATAAATTTAAACACAATTAAAATAAAGAAAAAAAAAGCAATAATTTCAAATGTCAATTATTTGAACATATCTATATAAAAAGACAAAGCGATAGAATTAACAATAACCTAGGATGTGAAATCCACCAGTCATGGCAGAGCATAATTAATGATGAAAGCAATAAGCCAAGCCAATAAATAGACAAAAGAAGTAAGTGATATGTAATTTATAAGTTCATAAGAACAGTGATCGTAATGTAACTAATCAATTTGGAAAAAATTTTTTTTTAAATTGTAATTTTATTAAATACTAGCTTATCCGTCGCGCATTGCTGCGATCTCAGAAGAAACGAAATGCAAGCAAACTCGTAATGATAAAATTAAATTTTCATTTTATCATTTTTATTGAAACTTATTATTATTATTATTCATTTTCATCGGGAAAATATTTCAAAGTGTTTCAATTCTATTTATTTATTGGAGTGCTCGTGGATACACGATATTTTTTGTTTTTCCGTCTGGTGCGTACACGAATAAATCGGAAGGTTTTCCGACGCGTGAGCCGGCCACATACACTTGTCCATGCGAGAAGCACGGATTCTCCAAATTTAGCCCACACACTCGCAGCGATTGTCAGAAGTGCGATATTCCCCATTTTTATATATATTTTTTAATCCTTTATAATTTTAATTATTTAATTGCTCCTTCCTCTCTTCCTTGGCATGTTGTGAAATTTCTGATAGTTGGATAATAAACCGTTTTATTGTAATTTGTCTTTTTAA